AGTGGTGCTGTGGCTCAAGTGGTAGAGCGCTAGCCTTGAGCTGAAGAGCTGAGGGACAGCGCCCAGGCCCAGAGTTCAGGCCCCACGACCGGACCCCTCCCCCCCAAAAAAAAGTCTATAGAAAATGCTAAGCATCATTCGATTTCAGAAAAATGTAAACTACAGTAACATCGTATTTCATACTGTCTAAAAAGGCTGAGAGAGCCAGATGTGTTGGCTCATGCCTGTAATCCTAGCTACTTGAGAGGCTAAGATTGTAATGATCATGGTTTGTTAACATCCCAAGCACACAAAACCCCTTCTCAACCACTAACTGTGTGCATGCTCCTGTCATTCCAGTTATTCAGGAAACTAAGATCAGGAGAATGATGGATCCAGGACAGCCTGGGCAAACAAAAAAAAATGTTGGTTAAAATCCTTATCATGGAAAGAAGTTGGTTGTGGTGCTGTGTGCTTGTCATCCTAGCCACAACAGGAATTATAAAAGAGAAGGATTGTGGTCCAGATGCAGGAACCATGCTAACACATACAATGTCTGCATGGCATTTATGATTTTGATGAGAATTAAAATGTAGCTCAAGTTTCCACAAAAAACAACAAAACTATAACATAGACAATCCATATTTAAGCTTCTCTGTTCAGCCTCCTATGTTTAGCCAGCTCCAACAGATTTTTAGAAGCCAGGAGGCCTCACAAGATCATCTGCTCTAGTCTAACTTTTTCACTTGAGACAATGATGCCCAGACATGTTGCTCTGCTGCCAAGTAACAGAGCAGACACTCCAAAGGGGGTCTTCACCATACCCTACTTTTGGGTAAGTTGTTTTTGTTAAAACTGTATCTACTTCGGTTTATGCTCTATTGTTGAGAACAGTTAGATATTGGTGTGACTGGAGTTCTCGTGACTAAGGCCAAGAACTAGACTCTAAAAGCAATTAACTGAAAGAAAAAAGGAGTGTGAGCATGGCTTAAGGGGCAGAGTACCTGCTTAACAAGCATGAGGCCCTGAGTTCAAACCCAGTACTGCCCAAAAGAAAAGTACTAACAAACAAACAAAAAACACCAAGAAATAGAAAGCACTGTGAATTTAGTTAACTCACATGAATTTGTATCTTAGAAATTGCAGAAGCACCTACAAATACAAAATCTAGTGGTATCTGTCTTTAGCTCATACTATTTATTCAGACAGGAGGAGATGCCTTCTGAGCAGATTGAATTGCATGTGTTGCAATAATTGCTCTGCAGAGTCATTGATCCTGAGTGCTGGATCCTCTGCTATAATAAAGTACATTGCTTATAGAAACTTATAGACCTGGGTTCAAATCCTGACTCCCTTATTATAACTGTGTCATTTTTTGGTAAATCACTTAAGACCTCTTAGTTTTGATTTCCTCATGTCTAAAGTATCAATACCTCCCTCACAAGGCTACTGGAGGACTGGACAGTATGATGCTCAAAGGAATCTGGCTAACAAATGAACTTCCATTTTTCTTAGCAGAATACTCCACATGTTTGAAATCCATAATTTAAGTTGCTAAGGGTCTAGGTCCATTGTGATCCAAGGATTCAGCCCCATTTCACAGGGAGAAATAAAGAATGCTTGCTCCTCAACAGGACTTTACATGTTTTAGTGATGCTGTTCTTCCTCAGGAGCATCCAAGGACATTTTAGCCTTCACTTACTATGTAGCTTGTGATTGTTTCCCCATTGCCTCTTTCTCCTATCCTGAGCTTTCTTATTGCACTTAGTCTAGTAGCCTCACATAAGGGCTCCAACTTACCCTGCACTGGAGCACACCAGGAACACCGTATCAATATGATGTATAATGTGCCACTATCACCAGTGTAACCTAGGTGTTCCTAAAGGCTGCCTCAGAGTGGCTGGACTTGTGCAAAAGTCCCCCTTACTAAAGAATAGACCCAGTCCAGTGGTAGTGGCACACACCAGTAAGCCTAGCTGCTTAGGAGGCTGAGATCCAAACGATTTGGGGGAGGGGGTTTGTGTTGGTGTCCTGGGGTTTGGACTCAAGGCCTAGGCATTTTTCCTGAGCTTTTGTGCTCAAGTCTAGAACTCTATCACTTGAGCCATAGCTCCATTTCCAGCTATTTTGGTAGTTCATTGGAATAAGTCTCACAGACTTTCCTACTCAGGCTGGCTCCAAATCCTCAGATCTCAGCCTCAGATCTCCTAGCTGAAGTATGAGCCACAGAGTCCCTGTTAGAGGACTGAATTGTAGGGCTAGCTCAGGCAGAAAAATAAGAAAGACTACCTTCAAAAAAAAAACAGCAAAAGCAGGGCTGGAGGTGTGTGGTTCAAGTTGTAGCACACCAGCCAAACAAGCAAGCTAAGTCAGTGAGTGAAAGGAACTGAGTTCAAACTTCAGTACTGTATCTCCTCTCCCCACCAAAATAGCAGCCCTGACTGCAGTGTTGATGGTCACTGTGTAGCAGACCTCAATGAGTCATTATTCTGAGCATCAAGGCAGAGCTCATCTATTGGCTCAGAACATCCTCGCCTGACCTTCCTAATGCTGAGCTTGAGGCCACTAAGGAGCAGCTGTTCTACAAGAGGGAAGGCAGGCAGGGCAGAAGCTAATGCCACCAGGGCATGTGCACATGATCTCCCAGCTGGCCTTTCTGTTGTCAGGCTGCTGCAAAGCTGTTTCACTCAGCATCTTCATTTTCCATCTCTTAGTAGAAGTAGGAAAGATTGTATGCAGACTTGGTAACTTCTCACATTTATGGAAGGACCCAAGAAGGCTCCTTCCTCTCTTATGAGAAATGTGCTATGCCTAGTTAAAAAAAAAAACCAAAAAACCCTCTCTTCTGTTTCCTGTATAGGCGATTGCACAATGTATCTTCTCTCTTCTTTTGGGAAGTAAGTGTAAATAAAGACTCTCTAGGAATAGAAGTGTGCCTCAAGAGGCATAGAACCTGCCTAGCAAAAATGAGGCTCTGAGTTCAAAACCCAGTACTGAGAGAGAGAGAGAGAGAGAGAGAGAG